TAATTGAAATGTTTTAGCTTTGCTCGCTAGTTTTATTCATATCTGGGATTCTCTAGTATTTTTACTGTCCATCGTCGACAGGTTTTAATCTTCAAAACGTTTTCTCTGTATATATTGTATAAATTGTTTTTGTCACGATATGGCTGAGGTATTGCCGATGTAACGTTGAATATGAACTCACTCACTCACCGAAGTTATAGACGTCTGAGACCTGCATCACTTCAGGCTTTCCTTCCATAATATGCCTGAAATCTTGAACAATATATAAGATAATCCCTATTCACACAAACTAAAGTAAAGAATTTCACGTTGGAATTTGATTAAGAAGCATTTTTGTGTCAAATCAGATGTGATGCAATGCAGTGAAATTCTTTCACGCGTTTAATGACATTCTTAAATTGGTGTTTTCTATGGAAAATCGAACTTTCGAGAAACGTGAGTGATGTCGTCCCTGAATTGATGAGATTGAAATATGACTGGAAAATGATTTGGCGGAAGAAAATGTTAAGAAAGTGTAAAAACATGTGATATAATCGATTTGAAATAGCCTGGTTATTGGTTTTAGCATATTGTCGACTTTAGAAAGTGCTGAAGTTGAAAAATCATGTTCTTGCGTCAATGAATTTTGAAAGTTATGAAATATAAATGTGACAAAGCTTTAGGAGTCTTTAATTTACAGAACGAAGATTTCCGATTCAATTACAGATGTTTTCATTTAAAAAATCACTTGTGCAAAATTTCGATTTGTTTCTGAACAAATTATGTGATAACAATCATCACGGAAGCCATGTTGCGAAGCACCTGTGTAATGTGCGTGCACATATGTTAATTATATTTGGATCGCCATATTTTCAATGATCAAGATGTTGTGAGGGTCAAAGTGGTGATTTGAAGGTCGTGAATAAAAAGCAAGAAAAAGAATATGCTTGACGAAGATCAACACATTGAAAGTACAATCGCATCGTGCACTTGCCGTGATAAAAGCCTCACACGACATCTCTGATGTTAAAGAGTAGGTCGACAAAGCTCAGAATAAGCAGACAACATGACCCTGCGTGCATTTGTATGGCGATATATGATTAAACCTCGAAACTGAATATCGAAGCTATCCACGTATGAAACATTTGGTCCCTCAACATGAAAGCACAACTCGAGACGAGAAGCTCCATTATGGCGTGCAGATACCTCATCAGTGACATGTATCCGGACGTTATTTCAAACATGCACACAAAAGACAAGAACTATAAAGGTACTAAAGCACCACAATGATGGAACCATTATGTCCTTAAACCCCTTTTCAAACCGAGGCGATTGAAAGGTCGTAAGAAAACATTCAGATTAAAGCGACAAATACCTTATTACAAGTTTCCATAGTCATCAGAAATTAAGTGAATTACTAAGTCAGTGAGTTCATATTTTACGTTCTTCATTCAGATTGTTGTCACAGCTAATTTGCCGTTTAAACCAAATGATATATTTTTTATAGTCTGGTCGGCTATTCTTTTAGACATATATATATTGGATTATATATACATATATAATGTACTGTCAACGTAAACAACGAAGTTTATCTGATCTACGAAACTGGAGGCGACAGATGATTGCATTGCGTGGAACTTTCCGTTTGCAAACAATAAGCCCTTGAGGCAACATTGGGTCAACAGCAATCTATTTGATCCATACGTATTTGACCTTCCATCAGCTTCAATTTACACCTCTTATTCGGCAACGTGCATGACGGTGGATGTTGAGTTATGTTGAATTAGCTAAGTGTCATTTCTTCCATAAATATTCCTAATTATAACAAAATGCTTCTTTGTAGAAGAGAGGTGTGGACGACGGCAGCATGTTCAGCATACAGAGTAAAAGGACCAGAACACGATGACCTGAATATATTGGATGAAACATCATAACTGATTACAAAGATGTTGATGTGTCACAATAACTGAAGAGAAACACTCATTGTGACTTACATATTACCCATGAATATAGCGTTATCTCTCTATTATGATGTTATTCCTCTGCAGTAAAAACAGATGCTTTGTCTAAACAGGCATCACCCCTAAAAAGATGAAAGCAGAGATCATTATTATCAGTGGGATTTATTACTTGGTGAACGATAAAAGAAGTAAAAGGGCCAAAGTTAAGGCAAAGGTAATTCCAAAGGTGACCGGAAATGGCGGAGATCCATCGATTTCGATTTATTTCAGAGACATTACGTGTATTTAAGGTCGACAGATGTCGATTAACCTGTGCTTGATGGATATGTTTCACACACAAAACACGCACACTGTTTTCCACTGTAGAATGAAGGTTAAACGTATTACCGTGCTTCTCTGTACGGTGATTGTTCAACACAACAAACACCTCAAGTGCATGTTTGGTTTTGGCAATATTCTAACTGTATGACGGTGGTTTATTCTAGTAGTTTTACTGTCCTTCGATGACAGGTTTTTACGTTATACATGTATTGATTTGAATATCGATATCAACTGTTCTCGACAATATGGCTGCAATATTGCCGATGTGACGTTAAATTTTAACTCACTCACCATGACGGTGGTTTGTCATTTGTACTGTCTGGACCAAACAATTCAGTGATTGACATCATGGACATCGATCTACTCAGTTTGATGACATGTGTAAACATGAACCTGAAAAGATGATCCCCAGAATTGCAACAAGCGTGCAGACGATCAATTCTGACCCTCCAACGTATGAACTGCTTGTCATGATGAAAACAATGAGGTAACGCCATGACCGTCCATGTTGCTGACAATTTATTGTTTTGAGCGAATCTCGTGACAAATGAAACAAGAAATACCTAAAATAAGTCACAAGCACCGTATGAATTCCTTAATGGTCGTGAGAGGCCACAACATGGACCAGATGATGATGTTCGGAGACGATGGCCAGGATTGATAGTCATCCTTTACTGGTCGTAAGAGGCCACAAAATGGACCAGATGATGATGTTCGGAGACGATGGCCAGGATTGATAGTCATCCTTTACTGGTCGTGAGAGGCCACAAAATGGACCAGATGATGATGTTCGGAGACGATGGCCAGGATTGATAGTCATCCTTTACTGGTCGTAAGAGGCCACAAAATGGACCAGATGATGATGTTCGGAGACGATGGCCAGGATTGATAGTCATAATATCAACCAATTAAGTAGCTGACATAGCCAAACCGCCGTCATACAGCTGACAAATTAGTTGGCTCCACCAGTTCCATATAATGTATATAATGATTGTTCATGCATCATGAATTTTCTGTAACAAAACTTTAAATATATTAACATGTACACCCTAAACACAAACGTCACATAACACGAAATATACCACCTAATCTAAAATCAACAACAGAGTAAGAAGGAACTATACTTTAAGTGAAAATCTCATCCCTTGTATGTCGATGACTGTGCAAGCGACCCCAGTGAATGGTGGTAACAAAGATGTACAGGCAAAAACAAAGAGTAACAGTAACACCATTAATGTTAAAAAGTGCAGAACAAGCGATGAAATGAGGCAGGCAATACATCTCTAATTCGCCGTGATGTAATTTGTCTCGGAAACCTATCCACTGATGGACCAGAGTCCTTTTTTTCTTTGACGTCAATCAAGCGACGCATGAAGCGTTCCCAAATAAGTCGAAATCGAACTGTAATCTGTCTTTGTAAATGCCCCCATAATAAGAAGCCAAATAACACGTCTGGAAGGGCAATTCCGGAAACATTAGCATCACAGACAACAACAACCAGACGTAAGCGACGTGTCGTACCTTGGAGAGTATCTGAATCCCAATAAAACAAGGGTGTAAATATCCTCATTTTGACTCTCCACACAATAGAGTATACAAAATCTTTAATCACGCCAATGAATTGCATCACCGTCTACGGTTCCGTATTGCTGTGCCTGTAATTAGCATGATGAAATGAGCCATAATGTTGAAACAGGGACAGCTTGTGATATGGCACCTTTGTAATTTGTTCAGCGCACTGAACAATAAGGTATGAGGTTAACATTTAATCCTATGTGCCAAAGGAGACATACAGGATGCTTTTCCATAGTGTCTTGTCTTGAATAGACATTCATTTGTGTTGACGCAGCCGTGAAATTCAAATTGCGAAATATGATGTATTTAGGGTATGACCTTCTCATTGGAAGCCTTGAAAACTCCGGCTGTACCCGGGCCACCACTGTAAGACATCATCGACGTTTACCCGGAATAAACGGGTATAATTAAGTTTACTGAGTTTTGTGCACAACTGAATGAAGGGTATCATAAGAAGCCAACAGTTAGCTGAAAAATATTTCGTCAGTTGCATTTGAGTTTTTTTAAAACAATGCGGGAGTCAACTGGGTTTAAGGCAGGTTTTAAAATAAATGAGTGAGTGAGTGAGTTGAGTTTTACGTCGCACTCAGCAATATTCCAGCTATATGACGGCGGTCTGTAAATGAAGTTTTGTTACCTCAATGTGGGAGGAAGGTCCGAAGTAATGCAGTTCTACTACTATGGTCATTTCCACGAGATACTTCCTTCTAAACATTGAACACACAAATGGTTATTGTCCAACTCACAATCCCCAAATCGCGTTATTTTCCCGCCCACCACGCCATGCTTGCAGAGAGAACCCCCTACATGAAGCAAGTGTAGATTTTCAATTAACGAAGTCATTTGTTCCCATCAAAATTTCACACACAAAAACACGCACACACATACACATAGCGTTATTCTAATATGACCTTGAAGCGTTGTGTTGAAATCACCCTTGGGTTTGGGGCGGTGGGGTAGCCTAATGGTTAAGGTGTACGCTCGTCACGCCGAAGGCCCCGGTTCGATTCCCCACATGGGCACAATGTGATATTGCTGGAATATTGCTAAAAGCGGCGTAAAAACTCACTCACTCACTCACTCACTTACCCTTGGAATTAGCTCATAATAGGCTTAACATCATGCCCTTGATATTCCGAGTCTCCACCAGAGTTCGGCGAGCGTGCTAGGTGGACGTGCGGTAGGAACATGTCATATATTTCAAGTGACATCGCAGTTTAGTATTGGGTTGGTCGATATATATTCCAGTGCGGTTATACAAACAATTATGTTTCAAAGAGCTCTGGTATGTGCGTGCATAACTCAACGCATCCGCTCGATGTTACTTTGCATGTGGAAAATGGTACAAATCTAACCATCCATAGATAGGAATAAAGATATTACATTAGTCAATCCATGTCTGTAGGATGCAGGCTTTAGCTATTACAATCCAATAAACAATGGTAAAAGTAATAATCTCTGAATATCATTTTATAATTCTATTAATGTTTGTGTTGTTGTGTGTAAACTTAAATGGCCTGTTTGTATAATGACTAATTTGCAGGATGATTGAAAGTTGGTAAAGAGAGGAGTAGACAAAGAACAATTTACACTATATCCTGAAACGTTCCTTTTCACCTTTTACGTAGCCTGTGCAGTAGAGAGATAAACTAAATAATGTGATTCTTCTAAACAAAACTACAATCCTCTTGCATATTACAGTCTCAAACTAAACAATAACAATCAAGTGTTTCCACATTGCCCTTCGTAACACGTGTTCTAAAATGTGCCCCACATTTAACTGTAACCTTCATTCTCAATTGAGTAGCAGCCCTGACATTTATAAATAATTATGTAGCCAAAACATTCTTCTCTATTTTGTTTTTACAAATGAAGTGAGTAGCTACCTCCATCTGGCAAGTTTTGTATGGGTTGTTGAGCTGAGATTTTAATCAGTTCCACGAACCTTAAGCATTAAGTGGTCTACAAAAACACACCTACAGCTGTTTAACCTAAAGGTTAAGAGCTCTGATCTTTGAAGTCTTTCGAAACTATAAACCCTTTCTTTTTGTTTATATAATAGCAAATGATGAAATACACTGCAGGAACGCAAACATTCTAATGGAGCCAGACGAGGCCTCAAACGTTCCATTTGTTTTCTAGGTAGTGTTGCATTTATCTCCTATCTCCAGTAATAATCCGGGATAAACTGACTGAGTTTAGTTTTACGCCGCTTTTAGCAATATTCCAGCAATATCACGGCGGGGGACACCAGAAATCCGGGATAAAAGCACGTTGGGATCTCATACATGTTCGTGGTGAACTACACATTCTGACAGCAGGTTTTGGTATACATTGAACTAAATCCATTAATCATACTGTCTTTGATATTGTTCCACAAACAGTGAGTGAGTGCGTTTAGTTTTACGCCGCACCCAGCAATATTCCAGCCATATGGCGGCTCCACAAACTGAAGCCGACATGATGGACAAAGGTGTATAGCCCTGTTTTTCTCCAAATGCACGTGATATACATTTGGTCGTTGATGCTCATTTCGCCGTTAGGTAGATATGTGGTTTTTTTTTAAAAAGAGTGTAACGTATTCTACATGGAGTTAAAGCCAATAATGGGTAATTCATATGTACTTAATAATAAATAAGTGCATTATATTAAACAGTGTAATGATCTTGGGAAGACGCTGACTTCGGAAGAGATACGCCACATAAAATATTGAACACGAACGTGATTGGGCTTTTCATTATTACTCACTATTCAAGAGTTCTGTAGTGGCCAGGCGTTGACTTATTGCGGGTCAACTCTCTTCTACTCCGTCGATGTGCTCAGCACAATGTTGCCTAAAATCATTCTACTTTTGTCTCATTTATTCCAAACAATTTGTATTCGGGATTTGTGTCCAGAAAAGATATGATTCTGTCTCTGACATAATGATCCTCTCCATAGTATTTGAATCATCAGCCCATTCCAAACCCAATGTTAATTTCATCTACCGAATATATTTAACATGCTCACATCAGATGTTTAGATCAGCAGTATACACATCTTCAGAAAAAAGTCTTTTAATGATTGGAATGACTGACAAAAATATGATTCTGTTCAAGGTTTCACTAAATGCTTAATGGTTATAAACATGTCCACTACATGTTGGATTGGTTCTCAACTTCATACATGTTTGTCATTACGAATGTGCCGCTTGAACAACAGAGACTGCAAATAATACCTGGTATTTTTAGGGTCCAGACAACGTGGTGTTTTGAATCAATAATACCAAAGAAATTATTTTTTTTTTTTAAACTATTACAAACTGAAGTAGTAGAATGTATATATTTGCATTATCGCCATGCATATCCTTTTAAGACGCTTCCATTCACAGTTAAAGCTGAATGCAAGCTGAACATTTATAAACCACTGCTCATATCTTCCACTTGCATTTATGGATGCCAACCTTTTGTATTATGAGGGACACGACCTACTGGAGTGTATGTCTTCATCGGGTGAATGAAAGCTGGGAAGCAGAGAGCTCAATATAATCTTAATGACTCTGAACACGGTAATATGTTGGTGGATCATAATACCCCCGGGTCCACAACAGGGGGGTTGAAGAGCGCTTAGCGTTACCCAGCACCCACCACGAGGAGGTGGCTCTTCACGGGTGCCACACTTAGATTAGATTCTCATCGACAGGGGTATGATAATTAATTATGAAAACGAACGCCATGCATTCTGAGAAAAGATCTAGTTATTTATACTTTCACACTTGTCTTGTTAATATACTGAAAGCCATTAAAAATGGCTAATTTCAACATATATAAACCTAACTGGCAGATATGTTTTAAGTGAACATCTGTGAATAATTTCATCTGAAAATGTCCAGTCAACAACAACATCAGTGACGCAACAACGACATCACACAAAGGAGGGGTCACTTACAGTCAATATCGTGTGTGTCCACCGTGCGCTGCAAGACATGCTCACAGTCTTTGGGGCATTGAAAGACACACATTTCTCAGGAACAGCTGTTGGATGGTCTGCAGCCTCTGATGGTCTGTGGTCTGATCATGACACCACCCCCTTCAAAACGATCATGTTCAAGGACACAGTTGGCGCAAGTCTTTCTCCTTTACGTCGATAAATCTGTTCACGTCCATCTGCAAAGAATAAGTTTAACCTGGATTCATCTGAAAAAACTACATCTGGCCGTGTCCTGTTGCCAAAATTGGCCCCATTTGCTGCCCATCGCTGTCTGGCAAGTCTGTGGCGATGCAACAAGGTTGGACCACGGTACGGGTTACGACACCGGATGTTGAAGGCAGCAAGGCGTCCATGTATCTTTGGGGCGCTGAAATGACGTTGACTTGTCCCAATTGTCCTCCTTGCCTAATCATCAGCTGTTTGGAACCGATTTCGCAAGTGTGAAACTCGGATATTGCGGTTTTGTCGAGCTGTTATCACAGGTGGTGCACCAGGTCGCAGACGATCAGCAACACTTCCGGTAGCCCGAAAACGTTGTCTGAGTCGACTTACAGTTGATGGATGCACATTAAAGTGCCTGGCAATCATCACATCTGAACCACCTTGGCTGACCATACCGATAACCTGATTCCTTTCGTCTTGTGTCAAGTGCAGCATTTTCTCAAAGTGATTGAGTTCCACAATTCCTTGTGCTTTTACAGGGCCTGGGTGCAGGTAATGCATGTGCACAACGTGTTTCATGAATGAGGTTGTGTTTACGGGAAACGTCAAAGGTTCAGTTTTAAGTATCAAAGTTCATGTGAGAGGAATGCTCCGGGACTCGAACTCGAAATGGGCCAGAATAACAGCCTTTTATCCCTACATCCTCTGTATCACAGGAAAAAGTCTTCAATAGAACTGTTGTAAGTTTCAGGACAATAAATACCAATTGCGTTTTTAATGGCTTACAGTATATTTCATGACGGCGTCTTAGAAATGTAGATTATTTGTTAAGGAAATCTTAAACTATCTGAAAAAATAAGAACATGCATAAAGGATACGCGCAAAAACATCAGAAAACATAAGAGACACAAAAAAACTTTACAGTTTGGTTTAAGTGAAGGAGACTGCTGTGCCCATTAAACGATAAACGTCAATCACGCACGTGAGAGAAATACACTCACAGCTTCATCCATGAACATCATGGCTGTATAACATATAACAGCTTCACAGCTCAAACACATCCTTCAGTTTCTATCGAGCCAGTCGCCACCAAGAAAATATGCGGAAATGACCAATTGCCGGACACAAGGGAAATGTCATTCTATTGATAATTTATGATGATTTGCGATCATGTTTCCGACTACTCATCATAAAACACTGTACAGGCTGCTGTTGTTAAACTGGCGTAAAAGTGTTGATAAAAGTGAGTTATAGCCTTTATAATTACTGGGGCACTTTCAGTGAACATCCCAGTGTAAGCGAGGCGAAAGAAACTGGATGTGATTATGCCCTATAATTTTCATTTAACTGAATGCAAGCTACTTCACGTTATGGGCAAGGTATTAAGAGTCAATAAGTGACTATGGATTGACCGTAGCGACGACTTGTTTATATGGCATGCCCTGTGCCGCAGCCATATAAATCACGCCCTCTGGAAGCCAGCGATGGTCAGGTCGACCTCCCCAGGCAATGAATCACCAAACATCAATAAACGCTCAGCACTCAAACGCGTCAATGTATTTCGTGTTTATATACTTGATTACGTTGATAAATTCAAGAACGGAAGAGTGTAAGGTATAACTTTCTTTTCTTTGGCTGAGAAAAAATCAGAAAGATCTCTGGTGATCAGAGTTACGATTTATCTTTCACCTCGTCAACCTCCAAAGAATGTCAGTGAAAACCTGCTGGCCCAAGGTACACACAGACTCAATATTTACCCAGAATCTAAATTCGTCCAAGTGTGGACGTGAACACAATCTGATCCAGTCTCCTTTGCCCCAAACCGTCCATTGATGGAATCCTACGAGATACAGCTCACCACTGTAAACATTGCTACACACGACCAAACGTACATACTGACTGTTAAGAACGCAAGATCAGGACGCATCTTTGCTGGTACCAAATTCTAGATCTGATGGGCGTGCTGTCAACAAAGTCCTACCCGAACTTACTAAGAAATCAATGTGATCACTATCGTCTTGCCGGTTACAATGAGGTGATGTCCAGACAGTAAACTTAACTGACTAACAAGAAAGAAAACGTCACCTGTTACAGAGCAAAAGTTGGAAATGAACATAGAGTTAAGGAAAGTTGATGAAAAGCTTCTATATGACTTCTAAATAGCTATAATTAGGTGAGTCAAAATAGGGTCAGACAGTGTGATATCAAAGTGAGTGAGTGAATGAGTTAATATTCATCGTCACATCGGCAATATTTCAGTCATATAGTGACGAGAACAAATAATAATCATATTAAAGATCAATACAATTAGAAAATAAATGCCTGTTGACGAAGAACAGTAAAACTACTAGTGTATCACAAATATCCATTTAAAACTAGTAATTAAATCTAAAATATGTTAAATGTACATGACAATACAATATAAAAACTGGCTATAGATTGCCAACAACTGAAGGTAGATCACCATACTAGGGACCATGGGTACTAACAGTACATTTGCTTCCTTCAAGGACCCTAGGTGGATTAACACCATCCCTTCAGCTGTTAGCAACTTAGACAAATCTAGCCATACCTTTAAAAAGACACATATTCTACGATTAAAAACAGTGGAGAGTTTCAATTTACTTTGAATGTCTGTGGACTTACGTACCCTCTCAGGAGGACACTAATCCCCTGAAATGAGGAATCTTGCAAAGCTTGCGTCCTTAGCTAATGTACAGTAATTACTGAAATCTGATGATTATTGAAGCCTTACGTAAAGGAACATTAGGCCACAACCTAAAAGTGTTATTAGTGTTATTTTGCAATCATTTATTGTATATGCGCTTTTAACAAAGAATTACGGAATACATTTTTCAGATGACATCAGGACAGTCAAAACAAACAGACAATTCCACATGTCACTGTGATATCTTGGAATTGCCTCGACTGCATATTGTTAAAGCAGCGAAAACCTGACAGCTGATGTGGGAAATGAATAAGTACACTTGTACCCGGGCGATACAAAGGATGATGCGAGGGAATTGAGATTTGAAAATGAGCCCTCTACAAAATTTTTAACAAGGCAAAAAGACAAATTGTGTAAGTTTTAGTGAAATTGATTGAAGACGTACAAGATAAAAAAGCCCCGAATCCAAAGAAAACCAGGAAAATTATTCCTTGAAAGAAGAAATGGAAGCAAAACAAATGTACAGAAAGTGTTTTAATCAGAACGTGTTTTGATTGAATCGCTGTCTGAAGGCTGCTTTTTCCAGTATCAAGGTCCGACTGGCCGTGCCTGGATTTACTTGCCGACACTCCGCTCGATAACTTGACTCTTGGAGTGTATGCTTGGTAGCACTATCCTCGGGGAATCGCCTTAAATGGTGAAAGTATCATAACGATTCACAACGATGCACAAGTATACAATGTATAACTGTTCAAGCAACACCAGACACGGTATCGATGCCTTACATTCTGAAACATGTCAATCCTTGCGTAGTTAACTATGTTAAAGACATGAATTGGGGACAAAGTCCATGAGGGTAGTAGACCACAAGCACAGTAAACTCAATGAATTGTGATGGGGGTGATGCCTAGAGCACCTGGACGACAAGATGGAGTTTCTGATATAGTTAACTGCGGATTAATAACACATTACATATTTACCACTTTGCTCTGTTCACTGAAAGTTCACTGGATTTATGCCAGATAACACTGGGTAAATGTGGGACTTGTATTCTGTATATGGCTACTAGACAGACCCTGAAACCATGCACGTACGTTAATACAGGGAATGTCTGTGTGCAGGAGGTTTCTAGGTGTAACAGCACCATACCAGTGGTCGATGGTTATATGGCTGTACCCTCAAAGGGGGTTGAAGTAGCGTAAATTTATTGTCCTCCTGAGAGAGCACGTAAGTTCCCAAAACTTTCAAAGTTAAATTTTCACGTACCAGGTTTTTAAATGTAGTATTTTTGTTCTTTTAAATTTCGGCTAAATTATCCTACAATCTCCAGAAGCTGAAGGGATGGTGTAAATCCAGCTAGGTTCCATGCAGTTAGCAAAAGTAATGTAAGTCCCCATGGTTCCTAGTATGGTGATCTACCTTCAGTTGTTGGCGATCCATAGCCAGTGTTTTATTCTGTATTGTCCTCTTTAATTGAAATGTTTTAGCTTTGCTCGCTAGTTTTATTCATATCTGGGATTCTCTAGTATTTTTACTGTCCATCGTCGACAGGTTTTAATCTTCAAAACGTTTTCTCTTTATATTGTATAAATTGTTTTCGTCACGATATGGCTGAGGTATTGCCGATGTAACGTTGAATATGAACTCACTCACTCACTCACTCGTCTGAGACCTGCATCACTTCAGGCTTTCCTTCCATAATATGCCTGAAATCTTGAACAATATATAAGATAATCCCTATTCACACAAACTAAAGTAAAGAATTTCACGTTGGAATTTGATTAAGAAGCATTTTTGTGTCAAATCAGATGTGATGCAATGCAGTGAAATTCTTTCACGCGTTTAATGACATTCTTAAATTGGTGTTTTCTATGGAAAATCGAACTTTCGAGAAACGTGAGTGATGTCGTCCCTGAATTGATGAGATTGAAATATGACTGGAAAATGATTTGGCGGAAGAAAATGTTAAGAAAGTGTAAAAACATGTGATATAATCGATTTGAAATAGCCTGGTTATTGGTTTTAGCATATTGTCGACTTTAGAAAGTGCTGAAGGTGAATTTGAAAAATCATGTTCTTGCGTCAATGAATTTTGAAAGTTATGAAATATAAATGTGACAAAGCTTTAGGAGTCTTAAATTTACAGAACGAAGATTTCCGATTCAATTACAGATGTTTTCATTTAAAAAATCACTTGTGCAAAATTTCGATTTGTTTCTGAACAAATTATGTGATAACAATCATCACGGAAGCCATGTTGCGAAGCACCTGTGTAATGTGCGTGCACATATGTTAATTATATTTGGATCGCCATATTTTCAATGATCTAGATGTTGTGAGGGTCAAAGTGGTGATTTGAAGGTCGTGAATAAAAAGCAAGAAAAAGAATATGCTTGACGAAGATCAACACATTGAAAGTACAATCGCATCGTGCACTTGCCGTGATAAAAGCCTCACACGACATCTCTGATGTTAAAGAGTAGGTCGACAAAGCTCAGAATAAGCAGACAACATGACCCTGCGTGCATTTGTATGGCGATATATGATTAAACCTCGAAACTGAATATCGAACCTATCAACGTATGAAACATTTGGTCCCTCAACATGAAAGCACAACTCGAGAAGAGAAGCTCCATTATGGCGTGCAGATACCTCATCAGTGACATGTATCCAGACGTTATTTCAAACATGCACACAAAAGACAAGAACTATAAAGGAACTAAAGCACCACAATGATGGAGCCATTATGTCCTTAAACCCCTTTTCAAACCGAGGCGATTGAAAGGTCGTAAGAAAACATTCAGATTAAAGCGACAAATACCTTATTACAAGTTTCCATAGTCATCAGAAATTAAGTGAATTACTAAGTCAGTGAGTTCATATTTTACGTTCTTCATTCAGATTGTTGTCACAGCTAATTTGCCGTTTAAACCAAATGATATATTTTTTATAGTCTGGTCGGCTATTCTTTTGGACATATATATATTGGATTATATATACATATATAATGTACTGTCAACGTAAACAACGAAGTTTATCTGATCTACGAAACTGGAGGCGACAGATGATTGCATTGCGTGGAACTTTCCGTTTGCAAACAATAAGCCCTTGAGGCAACATTGGGTCAACAGCAATCTATTTGATCCATACGTATTTGACCTTCCATCAGCTTCAATTTACACCTCTTATTCGGCAACGTGCATGACGGTGGATGTTGAATTAGCTAAGTGTCATTTCTTCCATAAATATTCCTAATTATAATAAAATGCTTCTTTGTAGAAGAGAGGTGTGGACGACGGCAGCATGTTCAGCACACAGAGTAAAAGGACCAGAACACGATGACCTGAATATATTGGATGAAACATCATAACTGATTACAAAGATGTTGATGTGTCACAATAACTGAAGAGAAACATTCATTGTGACTTACATATTACCCATGAATATAGCGTTATCTCTCTATAATGATGTTATTCCTCTGCAGTGAAAACAGATGCTTTGTCTAAACGGGCATCACCCCTAAAAAGATGAAAGCAGAGATTATTATTATCAGTGGGATTTAGTACTTGGCGAACGATAAAAGAAGTAAAAGGGCCAAAGTTAAGGCAAAGGTAATTCCAAAGGTGATCGGAAATGGCGGAGATCCATCGATTTCGATTTATTTCAGAGACATTACGTGTATTTAAGGTCGACAGATGTCGATTAACCTGTGCTTGATGGATATGTTTCACACACAAAACACGCACACTGTTTTCCACTGTGGAATGAAGGTTAAACGTATTACCGTGCTTCTCTGTACGGTGATTGTTCAACACAAAAAACACCTCAAGTGCATGTTTGGTTTTGGCAATATTCTAACTGTATGACGGTGGTTTGTTCTAGTAGTTTTACTGTCCTTCCATGACAGGTTTTTACGTTATACATTTATTGATTTGAATATCGATATCAACTGTTCTCGACAATATGGCTGCAGTATTGCCGATGTGACGTTAAATTTTAACTCACTCACCATGACGGTGGTTTGTCATTTGTACTGTCTGGACCAAACAATTCAGTGATTGACATCATGGACATCGATCTACTCAGTTTGATGACATGTGTAAACATGAACCTGAAAAGATGATCCCCAAAATTGCAACAAGCATGTAGACGATCAATTCTGACCCTCCAACGTATGAACTGCTTGTCATGATGAAAACAATGAGGTAACGCCGTGACCGTCCATGTTGCTGACAATTTATTGTTTTGAGCGAATCTCGTGACAAATGAAACAAGAAACACCCAAAATAAGTCACAAGCACCGTATGAATTCCTTACTGGTCGTAAGAGGCCACAAAATGGACCAGATGATGATGTTGGGAGACGATGGCCAGGATTGATAGTCATCCTTTACTGGTCGTAAGAGGCCACAAAATGGACCAGATGATGATGTTCGGAGACGATGGTCAGGATTGATAGTCATAATATCAACCAATTAGGTAGCTGACATAGCCAAACCGCCGTCATACAGCTGACAAATTAGTTGGCTCCACCAGTTCAATATAATGATTGTTCATGCATCATGAATTTTCTGTAACAGAACTTTAAATATATTAACATGTACACCCTAAACACAAACGTCACATAACATGAAATATACCACCTAATCTAAAATCAACAACAGATTTAGAAGGAACTATACTTTAAGTGAAAATCTCATCCATTGTATGTCGATGACTGTGGAAGCGATCCCAGTGAATGGAGGTAACAAAGATGTACAGACAAAACCAAAGAGTAACAGTAACACCATTAATGTTAAAAAGTGCAGAACAAGGGATGAAATGAGGCAGGCAATACATCTCTAATTCGCCGTGATGTAATTTGTCTCGGAAACCCATCCACTGATGGACCAGAGTCCTTTTTTTCTTTGACGTCAATCAAGCGACGCATGAGGCGTTCCCAAATAAGTCGAAATCGAACTATAATCTGTCTTTGTAAATGCCCCCATAATAAGAAGCCAAATAACACGTCTGGAAGGGCAATTCCGGAAACATTAGCATCACAGACAACGACAACCAGACGTAAGCGACGTGTCGTACCTTGGAGAGTATCTGAATCCCAATAAAACAAGGGTGTAAATATCCTCATTTTGACTCTCCACACAATAGAGTATACAAAATCTTTAATCACGCCAATGAATTGCATCACCGTCTACGGTTCCGTATTGCTGTGCCTGTAATTAGCATGATGAAATGAGCCATAATGTTGAAACAGGGACAGCTTGTGATATGGCACCTTTGTAATTTGTTCAGCGCACTGAAAGATAAGGTATGAGGTTCACATTTAATCCTATGTGCCATAGGAGACATACAGGATGCTTTTCCATAGTGTCTTGTCTTGAATAGACATCCATATGTGTTGACGCAGCCGTGAAATTTAAATTGCGAAATATTATGTATTTAGGGTATGACCTTCTCATTCAAAGCCTTGAAACATCCGGCTGTGCCCGGGCCACCACTGTAAAACATCATCGACGTTTACCCGGAATAAACGGGTATAATTAAGTTTACTGAGTTTTGTGCACAACTGAATGAAGGGTATCATAAGAAGCCAACAGTTAGCTGAAAAATACTTCGTCAGTTGCATTTGAGATTTTTTTAAACAATGCGGGAATGAACTGAGTTTAAGGCAGGTTTTAAGATAATTAAGTGAGTGAGTGAGTTGAGTTTTACGTCGCACTCAGCAATATTCCAGATATATGACGGCGGTCTGTAAACGAAGTTTTGTTACCTCAATGTGGGAGGAAGGTCCGAAGTAATGCAGTTATACCACTATGGTGATTTCTACGAGATACTTCCTTCTAAATATTGAACACACAAATGGTTATTGTCCAACTCACAATCCCCAAATCACGTTATTTTCCCGCCCACCAAGCCATGCTTGCAGAGAGAACCCCCTACATGAAGTAAGTGTAGATTTTCCTCGGGTTCAAGTCTGAATCTACAATCTCATGTGGTTTCCTTTTACAATTCACGAAGTCATTTGTTCCCATCAAAATTTCACACACACACACAAAAACACGCACACACATACACATAACGTTATTCTAATATGACCTTGAAGCGTTGTGTTGAAATCACCCTTGGGATTAGCTCATAATAGGCTTAACATCATGCCCTTGATATTCCGAGTCTCCACGAGCGTGCTAGGTGGACGTGCGGTAGGAACACGTCATATATTTCAAGTGACATCGCAGTTTAGTCACGGGTTGGTCGATATAAATTCCAGTGCGGGTATAAAAACAATTATGTTTTAAAGAGTTCTGTTTTTTGCGTGCATAACACAGCGCATCTGCTCGATGTTACTTTGCATGTGGAAAATGGTACAAATCTAACCATCCATAGATAGGAATAAAGATATTACATTAGTCAATCCATGTCTGTAGGATGCAGGCTTTACGCTATTACAATCCAATAAACAATGGTAAAAGTAATACTCTCTGAATATCATTTTATAATTCTATTAATGTTTGTGTTGTTGTGTGTAAACTTAAATGGCATGTTTGTATAATGACTAATTTGCAGGATGATTGAAAGTTGGTAAAGAGAGGAGTAGACAAAAAACAATTTACACTATATCCTGAAACGTTTCTCTTCACCTTTTACGTAGCCTGTGCAGTATAGAGATAAACTAAAAAATGTGATTCTTCTAAACAAAACTACAATCCTCTTGCATATTACAGTCTCAAACTAAACAATAACAATCAAGTGTTTCCACATTGCCCTTCGTAACACGTGTTCTAAAATGTGCCTCACATTTAACTGTAACCTTCATTCTCAATTGAGTAGCCGCCCAGACATTTATAAATAATTGTGTGGCCAAAACATTCTTCTCTATTTTGTTTTTACAAATGAAGTGCGTAGCTACCTCCATCTGGCAAGTTTTGTATGGGTTGTTGAGCTGAGATTTTAATCAGTTCCACGAACCTTAAGCATTAAGTGGTCTACAAAAACACACCTACAGCTGTTTAACCTAAAGGTTAAGAGCTCTGATCTTTGAAGTCTTTCGAAACTATAAACCCTTTCTTTTTGTTTATATAATAGCAAATGATGAAATACACTGCAGGAACGCAAACATTCTAATGGAGCCAGACGAGGCCTCAAACGTTCCATTTGTTCTCTAGGTAGTGTTGCATTTATCTCCTATCTCCAGTAACAATCCGGGATAAAAGCACGTTGGGATCTCATACATGTTCGTGGTGAACTCCACATTCTGACAGCAGGTTTTGGTATACATTGAACTAAATCCATTTATCATACTGTCTTTGATATTGTTCCACAAACAGTGAGTGAGTGAGTTTAGTTTTACGCCGCACTCAGCATTATTCCAGCTATATGGCGCCTCCACAAACAGAAGCCGACATGATGGACAAAGGTGTATAGCCCTGTTTTTCTCCAAATGCACGTGATATACATTTGGTCGTTGAAGCTGATTTCGCCGTTAGGTTGATATGTGGTTTCTTTTTAAAGCGTGTTACGTCTTCTACAAGGAGTTAAAGCCAATAATGGGTAATTCATATGTACTTAATAATAAATAAGTGCATTATATTAAACAGTGTAATGATCTTGGGAAGACGCTGACTTCGGAAGAGATAGGCCACATAAAATATTGAACACGAACGTGATTGGGCTTTTCATTATTACTCACCATTCAAGAGTATTGTAGTGGCCAGGCGTTGACTTATTGCGGGTCAACTCTCTTCTACTTCGTCGATGTGCTCAGCACAATGTTGCCTAAAATCATTCTAATTTTGTCTCATTTATTCCAAACAATTTGTATTCGGGATTGTGTCCAGAAAAGATATGATTCTGTCTCTGACATAATGATCCTCTCCATGCTATTTGAATCATCAGCCCATTCCAAACCCAATGTTAATCTCATCTCCCGAATATATTTTACATGCTCACATCAGATGTTTAGATCAGCAGTATACACATCTTTTTTCTTTTCTGTTTTATAGGATATTTATATAGCCCACATATCCAAGCAACTAGTGCATGCTCAAGGCGCTGGTATTTTCCCCTCGATCATTGGATGTCAGTCTCAACGGCTCATCGTATTATCAATTTCAACTCCCTGGGGAGTATACACCTCTTGCAGCCACATACTCACAGTACTTAGTCCAAGTTCACTGCACGTTGCTGTACCCGCAACTAGGTATTTGCACGTATTCATGTGGCCACCATCTGGTCATATACCAACGGATTCGTGGGTTCTTTTAAGTGCACAGGGTTGTGTACTGTAGCATATCTTCAGAAAACAGTCTTTTTTAGTGATTGGAATGACTGACAAAAATATGATTCTGTTTAAAAACTGAAGTTGTAGAATATATATATTTGCATTATCTCCATGCATGTCCTTTTAAGACGCGTCCATTCACAGTTAAAGCTGAATGCAAACTGAACATTTATAAACCACTGCTCATATCTTCCACTTGCATTTATGGATGCCAACCCTTTGTATTATGAGGGACACGACCTACTGGAGTGTATGTCTTCATCGGGTGAATGAAAGCTGGGAAGCAGAGAGCTCAATATAATCTTAATGACTCTGAACACGGTAATGTATTCCTCATAAAACAGAGTGAGTGAGTGAATGAGTTTAGTTTTACGCCGCACTCAGCAATATTCCAGCTATATGGCGGCGGTCTGTAAATAATCGAGTCTGGACCAAACAACCCAGTGATCAACAGCATGAGCATCGATCTGCGCAATTGGGAACCGACCACCCGATCCCGTTAGTCGCCTCTTACGACAAGCATAGTTGCTTTTTGTGGCAAGCATGGGTTGCTGAAGACCTATTCTACCCAGGATCTTCACGGGTCCATAAAACAGAGGCTTGCATCCATTAATGCAAGTGAAAGGTATGTTTAAGAAGTGGTCTATAAATGTTCAGTTTGCATTCAGTTTTCATTGTGAAAGTTAAACCAAACACTTTCACTAACCAAATCAATGCATTTACCGAAACAGTAGTATTCAAATGGTGTCAGGAAATCAATCAATCTCATGTATTCTGTAGTCCATCTCTAGATCTCAAGAATTAATCACGCGCTGATTCATGACCTACTTGTAAATACATTACGCTTCGTCTCAATCCAATGTGGCGTTCAGGCACTGGGCAGTGGTTGGCAATGTCGCCCTCAAAATATTTACGTTGCACCCACATTTCAACTTTTTTCAAAAAAATACATTGGTGTGAGTTTCTTTAGTTATTATGTTCTTGATATATCATATATTGATACATATAAATGAAGGATTATAATCTGAAAGACGTCATTTATTAAGCCACTGATTAATTCATATTCATCATTCAACTTTGAACATTCTTGAGTTTCTGCATATATGTATAAGTGGTATAGTCACGGTGTGTCGATGTTTGTGTTAATGTGAATGTGTGTGTTTGTGTGTGTGTGTGTGTGTGTGTGTGTGAGAGAGAGAGAGAGAGAGAACTAACTTCAGAATAATTCACTTGAATTCCATTGGGGCAAAGAAATATTCGTCTTGACTCATACCCATGACATCGTATTCATAGACAATTCCAAGTAACGACTTACTTTTGTCACAATTACTTTGATTAAAGAGCAACATCGACATCGTTTCGGTAGAAGTGTATGAATGAGTCTATTAAACGCCAGTGTAACAATATTATCACACATTGTGTAAAGTCCAACGTGATGCAGGTCTCAGATATTAATCACTTCAGTAGAAACCACGTGAAGAAGCATGGTGCAGAAAACTTGGAAACGGACGAAACAGGGATTCGAACCCACTCAATGAACTCAACCCCAGCAAATTGCAGCGCTTCAAACAGGGTATGCATGGGGATAATGTAAATCTATTTCTTTAATTCAGTGTGTATAATTGTTTTAAAAACACGTTTTCGTATCTTAAAAGTGCACGTATTATTTGCAGTATATGTTATCATTAACTGTTTCCCAAATGGCACATTCTTAACGATATATTCGTATAAAGCTGAGAACCAATCGTCAGCTTCCTACAGAATATGTTTCTTTCCATTAAGACTTCAGTTGAAACTTGAACACAATTATGTTTTGGTCAGTCATTCAAAGCACTTGTTCACAGAGTCTACCGTTGAGAACACTATCAAATACAATGATGAATTATACTGGATGCAGTTCAAAGTGTACCAAGACCACATTGAAAGTGATCGAACAAGAATACGTATGAGATCCCAATATCCTCTTATACTGGATATCAACCACAACTGACAGACGTCCAATCAGGAAATAATTGTTACATCAGCCAGAGAACAAATGTAACGTTTCAAGCCTCATCTGGCAATGTTTCAATTAGAATGTTTGCATTTCTGCAGTGTATTTCATCTCCAACTGATGATAGTATTTGGCCGGTTCTGCCCCACTTTGCCTGGCGCTAGCTGGCGACAGCTATAATTAGCCATGACCAGGTGTGGTGCAATACGCCAAGCTGTATTTAGAAGGGAAAATCCCCCAGTTTAAAGATAGCGGGAGGTGGTATTGCTACGATTCGTGATATGATTTTGATTGATCAGAGACAGTAACGTTATGTTAAAAGAACATATGAGCATATGGACGTTGATTTTTCAGCTGATTAAAAAATGAGTGAGTGAGTGAGTTCATATTTATCGTCACATCGGCAATATTTCAGCCATATCGTGACGAGGACAATTAATGATTACATCATATATCAATAAAATTAGTAAAACTACTAGTGTATCACAAAACTAGTGATGGAATCTAAAACATGTTAACTAGAAATGACAAGACAATGTGAAAACAGGCTATAGACCGCTAAAAACTGAAGGTAGATCACCATACCAGGGACCATGGGGACTTACAGTACATTTGCTTCCTCAATGGACCCTAGCTGGATTTACACCACCCCTTCAGCCGTTAGCAGTTTAGACACATTTAGCCATACATTAAAAACACACATACTCTACCATTAAAATGGTTGGATAGATTTAAATTGACTTTGAGTGTTTTTGGACTTACGTACCCTCTCAGGGGGACAATAATTTGACAATACTTCAACCCCCTTTGAGGGTACAGCCACTAACAAGCTCAGGTACTAATCTAAACTACCAATAATAAAATATTTATCTATTTACATATCATTTAACAAATCCAGTCCTTTTAAAAATGCAAGAATTAAATGAGAACTCATTTGATTAAAAAGATCCTTCATGGTTCGTGATTTGAAATAGTTATCCCTTGTGATGGAATATTCAACACAGTCAAGCAAGACATGCTTGACCGTGATTCTTTCATCACAAGGGATGCAAAACGGAGGATCCTCACCTTTCATTAGGTATTTGCATAATGACCTCTTCAAATCTGGACTGAAAACCCAAGCAGGTATAACCAGTATGAGGTTTTAGTGCATGTCATTTATTCATACCTACCTGGGTGTCCCACGTCTTTTGCATCAGATCACGGATGTAAGTTCTAATGTTAGCTTTGTAATCAGAGTATGGGGTCAGAAGTGGTGTTACAGATTTGTTGAGTGCTGCCTTGGCAGCAAGATCGGCCATTGTGTTCCCAGAAATGCCAACGTGGCTGTGTAACCAACAGAGGGCGATGTCATACTGACCAGTAGCAACATCATTATATAATTCAATACTTTCGATCAAAAGTGGATGTTTACAAGAAAGATTTGATATTTTGAAAGATTATATACTGTTTATATTCACGGTGTTTATTAATATATTTTAATGCTGTTAATATGGCATTAGCTTCTGCTGTGAAAATAGAGCTGTTGTCAGGCAATCGAAAAGATATTGTTCTGGAACCAATGACATTGGCACAAGCTACTGCGCCACCATCCTTGGACCCATCTGTAAATAAGGATTTATATGTATTATATCTATTTCTTAATTGACTAAATTCTCGTTTATACTGTAATTCATTAGTTTCTTTTTTTCTAAATGTGGTTAATGTTAAGTCAACGTTTGGCCTCACCAATTGCCAAGGAGGAGAAGAAAGAAGACGGGAAGGAGATATATTCTCCAGCTCAATGACGGCAGCAGAAATAAATTGTTGAATTCTGAGTCCAAGAGGCGGAACAAGAGAAGATTTGTTTGTGTATAAATCCTCGTAGAAGACACAGTTAAATGCAGGGTTAAACTCGTTAGAATATAGTTGGTAATATATTGTAAAGATAATTTTATACGGCGTTGTGTAAGACATTGCTCATCTGCCTCGACTACAGGTGTAGTTCTGAAGGTTCCACGACAAAGTCTCAGACGTTGGTTGTGGAGAGAATCTAATAGTTTTAGGTTGCTTTTGCAGGCTTCACCATATACGATGGAGCCATAATCAAGCTTCCAGCGGACCAGTGAACTATATAGGTGTAGGAGGGTAGCTTGATCCCCTCCCCAGTTTGAGTTGGAAACAACTTTCAACACATCCAGAGCCTTCAAACATTTATTTTTTAAGTATTTAATATGTGGAGTGAGTGAGTGAGTTAATATGTAACGTCACATCGGCAACATTTCAGCCATATCGTGACGAGTACATATTTGTCATTGAAATGTAATATGTGTATATTAGAAAAACCTGTCTTCAAAGGACAGTAAAACAACTAGAATATCACAATTACAACTAAAACTAGTGTGGAAAGTTAAAACTGATAGCACTTTTTTAACAATACAATATAAAAACAGGCTATAGATCGCCAACAACTGAAGGTAGATCACCATACTATGGATCATGGGGACTTACAATACCTTTGCTTCCTGCATGGACCCTAGATGGATTTACACCACCCGTTCAGCTGTTGGTGATAGTATGTTCATGGAAGAACATTTGTGGCAGAAACTGACCATAAACAACTAGTATCAAGAAAACACTTCTTGAAGAACGTTCAAGCTCTACACAAGCAGGTGTTCAGATGTATGTTGACAGCCTGATGTCAACACTACAGATATCTTCAAACAAACTCACTCAAGTGAGAGATGAGAACAACAAGGATACTAAAATGAAAGCACTAAGAGCAACAATCTTAGCAGATTGGCCAAATGAACATGCTAAGTGCCCTCAGAATCTGGTTGACAACTGGAACTATAGAGATGAACTGTCACTTATTGATGGTGTGATCTTCAAAAACAGCCGTGTGGTTGTACCCACTAGTCTTAGCAAAGCCATATTGCAGGAAGTGCATGCAAGCCATCTAGGTCAAGAAAGTGCAAACAGGGTGCTAGAGAAGGTGATATTCTGGCCTAGGATGAATCATG